GTAAATATTATAGCATTTTGTAAAGCTTAGCTCTAGTTTTTGTCACAATAAACACTCCTCTTTTTTTTTAATAAAAAAAAATTGTCATTATTATTGTCATTATTGTTATTATCGTTATTATTATTATTATTATATTATTATTATTCTGTGATTTATTATTTGTATTTCTATGTAAAGACTCGTTGCAAACTCGTAGCAACAAAGTTATCTTTTTCTGGAATGCAAAGGATGTTGGTTCCTTTCTAATCTTGACCGAGTGTTACCAGTTCAAACAAAAAAAACAGTTGCAGTATTCGATTGTTTAAGTTTCTTCCTTTTCGTCTTGCAAATATGCATGTATTTTGTTGGATACGAAAACTTCCTGGCACAAAACCGTGTCCTTATCAAAACTCTACACTGGCAACGGTAATTTACGCTTTAGGTGTCTCTCCAGGTTTTTATGACCGCGTGAAGCCGAGCAGCAGTATGGCGTGAGCTTTTAAGACAGATTCCGCTCAAAGTTCGTGCAATGAGTGTAAAAATTATTTAATAAAAATCTACTCGTGGCACGGTAACTTTTAGAATACTGCCTAAAACAACTCACTACAGTGACCGCGCAATTATGGCGTGAGCTTTTAAGACGGATTTCGTTCAAGGTTCGAGCAATAAGTGCAACAATTATTTAATAAAAATCGACTCGTAGCACGGTAACCTTTGGAATACTGCCTAAAACAACTCACTATAGTGACCCCGCAATTATGGCGTGAGCTCTTAAGACGGATTTCGCTCAAGGTTCGAGCAATAAGTGCAAAAGTTATTTACTCAAAATCTACTCATAGCACGGCAACTTTTGGAATACTGCCTAAAACAACTCACTTTAGTAACCCCGCATTTAAATTCTCAAGCATTCTTGAGAAACTTAATGTCACACATCGTAAGAATGCTTGAAGTGTGTGTTATTGTGTTTTTAACTAAAGCGAAACGTCTGTTTTAAATGAAATATGGATAACTTGAAGGGCAATTTTCTCTCGCGGGGTCAGCTTGAGAGCTAAACTCTTGATAAGTTCTTGTTAACCGTATTCAAAATAATACCATACCCTGAGGTTTTTTGTTAACTTGATTTTTGCTATTATTGCTCGAATGTTCTGCGGAAATCATCTTAATTCCTCTTAAGGACCACGAAAGCTCAACGCAAAATATTAAGCAAACAAGGTTTCTCTGTTTGTAATTTACTCAGCTTGGGCAAAAAAAAATCTTGCTGGAGTCGCCAATCGAAAAACGTTGTAGTTTGAAAATGACCTAGGGGAAACTGAACCGCTCTCGAAAACGGAGCACTGCAATGTGCTTAATCACTGCGGCGAACTAATGACTGTACCGCTTGTCTTTTTGTGTAGTGGCATTCATTATAGCCTTCAAGTAATCTGTCTTATCAGTAATCACAAAGCAAGATCAGGCTTGATGGCAGACACCAAAAAGTGCAACGCTCTTTTTTTATGTAAGAATATAGTTTCTCGGCCGGCCAAGGCTGAATATTCGAAATTTTTCTGCCGATTTTAGGCTGAAATTATTATTGTGAATATTCTTAGACAAAAGCGTATGACATTAAGTTGAGCTGGTTTTGATAGACAGTACGTAATTAATGAATTTCGACATCTTGTGCGGTCCGGGATCATTTGCGGACTCCTTGCGGAGCTGCACCGCGCAGCTTTGGTCTACCACCCAATGCCCTAAATTGAATCATTGCGGTAAGCACACGAGCAACACTTTGACTTATGGTCTGCTTCCCGACGTCTGCTACTGTGAGAATCCCCTCTTACCGTCAGGCGAAAAAGCCATACCTTTATTTTCTAAGAATATTCTTTTATAATTTTACCCGCTAACTACGATGTAGACCTGTGTTATGAGAAGGAAATGTGGAGAAGTGCAATTGTGATCTGTCAAGATGTAAATTTAAAAAAAAGACCAGTAATGAAACTTGACCCCAACCCGTTAATACGGCTAAATTTTCATGACCTTTTAAATGGGGCTCCACTGTATTTCCTTTCACGCAAAAAAAAAAAAATTCACGACGTCACTTTTTCCGCGTGAAAATCCCAGAGCTTTATTCCGTTACTTTCAAAACAAGGAAAATAGAGATAAAAGAAGCAGTTGAGACATGGCAAAGAGGAGTTGTCTGAATTCTTCTAAATTGAACGTAAGAGAATTAAGTCGTACAAAGTAGCATCGAAGAGCTGATCCCAAAGCAATCCGCAAATGAAAGTGTAAAGGTTATTTAAACTTCCTGTCAACTTCAATTTCAAAGCAAATAAAGCTACGCAGCTTAAACATGCAAGGAGAGCTTGCGGATTTGGTTCCTTTTTTAAAATACTTTTTCAATTCAGGGATAGCCAAGTAAAGGTTCATCAATCCTTAAATGCACAATTATTTATTGCAGGCCCTGCGCTATCCCGCACACGCGATCCGTGGTCAGTTGTTTTCGCCCTCAGAACACCCGACTTGGCACAAAATCCTCACTACATACCGCCGGTGTATAGACTTTCTAAGTAAATACTAGAAATCTGCTCGCAGGCTATTTGCCAGACGCCACACCAAAACGGAAAAAGTGTACGTATATCAGTTTGCTTACAGGAGAAGTCCCATATTTAGTCTCTGTTGTTTGGAGAGGTCCAATCATGGGATTTTTGCCTCCTCCATTTCTCTCTTTGCTAGTTCTGTGCATAACGCCATCGGGTGAGTTGAATGTATTTCCAGTAGCCAAATTGTGGTATGCAAATGCACACTGTATCATGCATGATCCGATTTACCCTGCGAACAGAGTCGCTTCTATCTCTCCTTGACAAGTTCCTCATTTCTGAGTCATCTAGGAAAGATCGAAGCTTCTTAGATCGGATCATGTTTTGAAATAGATCTAAGTCAGCTACAGTTTTCACTCTTGATTTTATTCTTTCATAATCAAGTGCTTCTTCTTATCCACAGCTGATTCTCTGAGGCTTTTATATGCCAATCGAAAGGATATTAGAAATGTTGGGACGAATCAAAAGAATCCGAACGAAGCTATAGTAGTCGATGGACTCGAAGATGCCATCGCTGTGGATTTTTGCTTTGCTGAAGGATTTGTGTTTTGGGCGGATGTTAGCTTGGAGAAAATCAAGCGAATTCGTGTTACAGGAGACACAAGGAAAGTCGAGGATGTGATCTCGGTGGGTTTGAAGAAACCCGAGGGTTTGGCTGTAGATTGGATAGCGAAAAAGTTATATTGGACTGACTGTAGAGATTCTGACTGGGAAAGGAATAGAATCGAAGTTGCAAATTTAGATGGAACTAATCGCAAAGTTATTTTCTGGAAAAACTTGGGTCTTCCGAGGGCTATTGCTGTGGATCCACACAAAGGGTAGGTGTAACTCCATATACCGTCTTGCTAAGATCGCTCCAATAAGTATATTGAGCTTATCAATGTCATTGCCTTTATAACTACATTAACTTTGAGTTCAGAAATGTTTGGCATTTCTCTTTGACCTAAGAACATTATTAAGCTACTAGGGTCATCTCTGTTGATGTTTCAAAATTTGTTCATTTGCCGGTTTTATACAACGGCCGTATAGAAAGCAGAAACCGGTAAAACGTAGGGTAATTTTAAAATTTGGTGTACTATATTTCGGCTGGCCAAACCAGCCTTCTTCAGGTACAATGTCAATTTTGACATAATTTGGAAGGGGTGTTTATACAGTGATCACGGTATTTGCGTAGTACCGGAAATGTGGGAGACTGACTTGTGACAGTATAAATTGAAGATAAGATACATGTAGTGAGATAGCATAGCAAAAGGTAATTTAAAAGCTTCACTCGCCTTACGGGTTGTATGGAAAACGCGGAGTACGGAGTGCGGAGTGCGGAGTGCGGAGTGCGGAGTGCGGAGTGCGGAGTGCGGAGTGCGGAGTGCGGAGTGCGGAGTGCGGAGTGCGGAGTGCGGAGGGCGGAGTGCGGAGTGCGGAGTGCGGAGTGCGGAGTGCGGAGTGCGGAGTGCGGAGTGCGGAGTGCGGAGTGCGGAGTGCGGAGTGCGGAATGCGGAAAATGAGGAGTATGGAAAATGAGGATTATGGAAAATGAGGATTATGGAAAATGAGGATTATGGAAAATGAGGAGTATAGAAGATGAGTAGTGAGGAAAATAAGGATCATGGAAAGCGGAGTGTGGAAAATGGGGAGTATGGAAAATGTGGAGTGTGGAATAGAAGGAAAGAAACTTTGAATAGATCACTAAATTTCCGCGGCCTACGCGCAATCTTTTGAACCTGCTGGTGGATAGTTTCAGGGATACAATGACAAGAGAGCTGTTAATGAAAGGCTTTTTATATATATATTTGCATCTTTATTCTTTTATCTACCCTTCTTTAACAGTGTGTTGAATGTCATGATTTGCAGAGAGTCTAGAAAAAACTTGTGCATGTGAAAAACCAAAGTTTTAAAAAGTTGATTTATTTCACTGCATTTTTCAAAATATTCTCATTAATAAAATGTAATAATAAGTCTTAATATGGGCGTCTTATAACTTCAACGGAACGGAAGTTGAGAATTCTGCAATTCGAATGAATTCCTTGACGGCTAAGAATAGAACTGAATTCGTGATTTACACCTTTTAGCATGACTACGAGCATCTCCGACCTTTTTCACATGGGAGGCCTCTTGTCAATTCAAAAATTTCTCTCTTTTCTTGACAATCCATTGTTATATTCTAGGTTCATGTTTTGGACAGACTGGGGTGAAGAACCTAAAATAGAGCGAGCTGAAATGGACGGCTCCAACCGTGGAATAATCATCAGACAAGATATTCATTGGCCCAATGGGCTTACAATAGACTACAGTGCTGAGAAAATATACTGGACAGATGCAAAATTGTTTTATATAGCTAGAGCTAATTACGATGGTTCAAACCGTGAGAAAATCGTCGGAACTCCCATGCCTAGTCAGTGTGTATTGGGCCATCCGTTTGGTTTGACATTGTATGAGGACAAAATTTATTGGACTGATTGGAAGACAAGAGGCATTCACTCCAAGAACAAGAATAGTGGCACACGGTGTCAGACGGTTTGGTCAAATGCTTATTCTCCTATGGGTATTCATGCATTTGAACCAAGAAGACAGCTGCCAAGGTCTGGTAAGTTTAATTTTTAGTTGATTTTATTTTATAATCATTTACAAATCATTTTACAATCAGGACACTCGAACAATGAACACCTGACATTTTTTGTACATTTTCTTAGTGACTACACCATGAGGACTCTTCATACACAATGTCAAAATGCGAATCTTGTATATTATGAGAAGAACATTTATTCTAAAGTCACCGAAAAAAGTACAAAAAAAATGTCTAGTGTTCATGGTTCGAGTGACCGGACTGTAAGATCATGGTCACTTCGTTGCTAAATGGCATTTGAACAGAGCTGGTTGTCCTACAAAGTCATATTTTGATTCTTTGTGCAAGTAAAGATCAAGGCCTGGTAAGGCTGAGTCTCTTTTGATTATGGCTTCCTTTCGTTGTTCTTGTGCGCGAGTTGGATATCCGTTATCCTTGCAATTGTAAGGAAACGTTTGAGAGATGTTTTGACCTTCATTTAGCTCATTACTTCAACTGCTTTGAAAATTTGCTTACAAATACGCATCTTTCCACATATCACGAAAACTGGAAATCATGCTTTTTAAGCAGCTACCTCCTACATGCTTGAGAAGGATCCCAGCCTTGTTCTTTATAGCTTTTACAGGACTGTGCCTAAGCTACTTTTTGTCGTGCATTCGTTTGAGATTCGAGAACTGCTCCCATTGTTATCATTATTGTTATTGTTATTGTTATTGCTATTGCTATTGCTATTGCTATTGCTATTGTTATTGTTATTGTTATTGTTATTGTTATTGTTATTGTTATTGTTATTGTTATTGTTATTGTTATTGTAACTCGTTGTTTTTGAATCAACTCAGCTCGCATATCTGCAAACTATCGAATTGCAATTATGGGGGGGTTTAGCAGCGTTTGAAATACTGATCGACAGCTCTCTTAACAGGTCAAAACCCATGCAATTCCACCTTAAATGGAGGATGCAGCCATCTATGTCTGTTGAATACACGTAGTCATTCATGTGCTTGCCCGACTGGTGTGAAGCTTTTATTCGACGGGAAAACATGCGAGCAAAGTAAGCTGACAATAATTGAAGTGACGTATTTGTTTTTGCTTGTTACTTTCTTTTTTTTTTAATATAACTCTAATTATGCTTTGTGAGCAATGTTATATCTTTTGCGTGTCAAACTAATATCATCAACAGCAAACGAATGTTGTGAAGTTTATATGAAATAATTCATATATGAACTGCGGTTGTAGATGAAAGTGAAGAATGATCATCGCAGTTAACTTTCCAATTTAAGCAAC